TCCATCTATCTATCTATCTAATCTACTCTATCTATTCTATCTTATACTACTATCATATCTCATCTATCTATTCTATCTATCGTATCTATCTATCTATCTATCTATCTATCTATCTATCTATCTTAATCTATCTACTCTATCTAATCTATCTATCTATCCTATCATGTATTCTCATCTATCTATCTATCTATCTAATCTACCTACTATCTATCTTATTCATCTATCTATTTTTTGTCACGGGAATGTTGGTGGAAAGATATGTAGAGTGAATATTTCACCCGCAACCCACGACAAAAATGAACAATGTTGTATTTACTCTCCCATCTTTCTTAAACTCATCAGTCATTCACATATAAAAGATAAGAAGACCCAATTAACATTTCTCTCTCTTAACCCCATTCTCTATGGAGGTTTCACGAAAAAAAGAAAAAAAGAGTTTTACAGCTTTGCAAGTTTTGTCCCTTCATCGCGGCCGGATGTTGCAATCATTTTCAACAGGGATGCGGGTTTGTGTCGTTGCACGTGGCCGCTCGGATTTCTCGCCTCGTCTCGTGCAACTCCGTAAACCTAAGGAGACGAGAAGTTAAATCGCGGATTTTGGCTATTTCTCTTCTTCTCCTTCGGGGTATTTGATCGGTTTATGATGTGCTTTGGTGTGTCTCAAGAGGTCTTGGCTGGGGTGTTGTGTTAGTATATTTGCTACATGCATATATGTACCTATACATACATACATACAAATATATATATATATATATTATATATATATATATATATATATATATATACATATATATATATATATATATATATATATATATATATATTATTATATATACATCTACGCATACACATACACATACACATACACATAACACACACCACAAACACCACACACACACACCACACACACACACACACACACCACACACCACACACACACACACACACACACACACACACATACACACACACACACACACACACCACACACCACACACACATACACACACACACACATACTACACAACACACACACACACACACACACACACACACACACACAACAACACACACACACACACACACACACACACACACACACACACACACACACACACATACACACATACACACATACACACACACACACACACACATACACACACACACACACACACACACACACACACACACACACACTATATATATATATATATATATATATTATATATAATATATACACCTAATGATAATTGTAATAATGATATTAAGAAAAGTTCTATCAATAATAATCATAATCATAATAATAATAATAATTACTAATAATAATTATGATAATAATAATAATAATTAGAATAACAATAATAATAATTAGAATAATAATAGTAATAGTAATAATAATAACAATAATAATAATAGTGGTAGTAGTAATAATAATAATAATAATAATAATAATAATAATAATAATAACAATAATTAGAATAACAACAATGACAATAACAATAATGATGATAATTACCATAATAACAATAATGATAATAATAACAACATTATTAAGTAAATAGATAACCCAATCAATCCATCAACATATTAGCCACAACATCAACAATAACAACAAAAGCAACAATAATAACACATATAGCAAAGATAAAAAATAACAATAAATAAAACAATAATAACAAAAAAACAATAACAATAACAAACATAACAATAACAAACTTCCCGGCGCGTGACCTAACCTAACCCTGTTCACCCCCCCCCACCCCCAGGGATGATGCCTTTATGGATGTTCACTTTGGGGGCGAGTTTGTTGGAGGAGAACGCCGACATCCAGATCCCTTTCGTCAACTTGGCTGTCTCCCTCATCACCCTCACCGTCCCTGTCTGCGTTGGGATCGGGAGTAAGGTATGTTGAGTGTATGAGGAGGAGAGGGGAAGAGGGTGGTTGGGGAGAGGGAGAGGGAGAGGGTGAGTGGAGAGGGAGGGAGGGGAGGGAGGAGGAGCAGAGGGAAGGGTGGGTTGGGGGGGGGGAGGAGAGGGAGAGGAGGGTGAGGGAGAGGGAGAGGGAGAGGGTGGGTTGGGGAGGTGAGAGGGAGAGGGTGGGTTGGGGGAGGGAAGAGGGGAGGTGGGGGAGGGGGAGAGGCGTGGGCGGTGAGGGGAGGGGAGAGGGGGAGGGAGAGGAGAGGTGTGTAGGGGGGGTGGAGGGCGAGAGGGAAGAGGGTGCGTGGGGGAGGGAGAGGGAGAGGGTGCGAGATGGGGGGAGGGAGAGCAGGGAGAGGAGTGGGGGTGCAGGGGACGGGAGAGGGCAGAGGGTGGCGGGTTGGGGGAAGGGAAAGGGAGAGGGGGTGGGGAAGGGAAAGGGAGAGGGCTAGGTTGGGGGAGGAGAGGGAGCAGGGTGGTGGGTTGGGAGGAGAGGAGCGGGTGTGGGTGGAGGGGATGGAGAGGGTGGGGGAGGTGGAGAGGTGCGGTGGGGGGAGGAGGAGGAGGGGGTGGGTTGGGG